AGAAATTAATGATTGAAATAAACGTGAAAAAACATCCCATGTTCATGGACCAGAAGATTTAACATTGTTAAGGTAGAATACTGTCCAAACCAGTCTACAGATTTAGTGCAATCTCTCATAATCTTGGCTGACTTCTTTGTAGAATTGACATTCTAAAATTCATATGGAATTGCAATGCATCCAGAATAGGCAAAGAATCCTGAGAAAGATCAAAGTAGTAGTAGGACTCATACTTCCCCATGCCAAAACTTACAAAGCAATTGTAATCAGGATAATATGGTACTGGCACAAGTATAGACACATAGATCAATGGAGTGGAATTGAGAGTCTAGATATAAGTCCTCTATGGTTAACTGATTTTCAACAAGGGTGCTAAGACCATTCAGTCAGGAAAGTATATAGTCTTTTCAACAAATGTGTTCCCTAGGGATGGACAACTGAGTAGCAATATGTAAAAGAATGAAGTTGTTGCTTTTCCTTATACCATATATAAAATTTAAGATGGATCAAAGACCCAAATGTAAGAGCTAAAACTATAAGACTGATAAAGAAATACAGGGTTAAATCTTCATGACCTTGGATTTGGGAAAGGATTTTTAGTTGTGACATGAAAAGCACAAGCAACAAAATATATTGGACTTGGTTTAAAATTTTTGTTCTCCAAAGAACACCATGAAGAAAGTGAAAAGACAACCTTCAGAATTAGAATATTTGGTAATCGTAAATCTGTCTGTGTTCATGAGGAATATTAGACTTGAGTTTTATTTTGTGTGTGTATACGTGTACTATATTTGTCTGGTTTGATACCAGGGTAATACTAGCCTCATAAGAGGAAGTGGGAAGTGTTTCTTAGTCTTCTATTTTCTGGGATAGATTGTGTGAAATTGGTGTTAATTTATATGTTGGGTCCCATTTTCCGGGCAACCTGGGCCAGAAGATTTCCTTTCCAGGGGCTTTTAAATTCAGTTTTTAAATAATTTCAGGAGTACTCAAGTTTCACACTGGTTGAATTTTGGTAGTTGGTGGTATTTGAAGAGCACCACAATTTGTCCATTTCTCATTAATAGTGCAGTTTATGAATGCAAAGTTGTTTGTGGTACTCCTCTAGTCTTTTAATGGCTGCAGGACCTGTAGTGATATTCCCTGTTTCATTCCTGTTATGGGTATGTATGTCTTCTTTCTTTTAATCTTTGTCAGTCTTTCTTAGAGGTTCATCTATTTTATTTATATACTTACTTACTGGTGTTGGGAAACTAGTTCTTTGTGTCATTGACTTTTCTCTGTTGTTGTTTTGTTATTGATTCCTACTCTTTGTTTCTTTCCTTCTGCTTGTTTTGGGTGTAGTTTGCTCTTTTTCTAGTTTACTGAAATAGGAAATTAGATTACTGACTTGAGATCTTTCATTCTAATGTAAACTTAATACTGAAAACTTCCTCTCAGCATTGCTTTAGCTATGTACCATATATTTTTATATGTAGTACTTTCATTTTCATTCAGCTTTAAAATTTCTTGAAACTTCCTCTGACCCACAAATAATTTAGAGAAGAGGTTCCTTGGTTTTTAGCGTTTGGACATTTTTCTGTTACTTTTCCATTATTGATTTATAGTTTGACTCCATTGTGATTGAGAACATACTTTGGGATTTCAATCCTGTAAATTTGTTTAGGTTTATTTTATGGTCTATGGTATGGTCTTTCTTGGTATGTGTTCAGTGGACACAGGAATAATGTTTATTCTGCTGTTAGATAAAGTGTTCTATACATGTCAGTTAGACTCTGTAGAATGATTGTGTTACTTCTATATCTTTGCTGATTTTCTCTGTTCTACCCATTGCTGAGAGTGTGATATTAATGTCTCCCAGTATAATTGTGACTTGACTATGTTTATTTTTCATTTAATCTCTATCAGTTTTTTGTTTGTTATAGGCCTAGTATTGTCTCATACGCATTTACAGTTATGTCTATCTGGTGGATCAATTCTTTAATCATTGTGTAATGGTCCTCGTTGTCTCTATTTTCTTTGCTCTGAAGTCTACTTATCTGATATTAATATAGCTATTCTGCTTTTTAAAAAATTGCTTGTATAGTAAATCTTTTTTTCAGGCTTTTGCTTTCAACTTGACCTATGTTTTTATTTATTTATTTATTTTTTGAGTTGGAGTCTCACTCTGTCACCCAGACTGAAGTGCAGTGGCTGCTCCCGGCCACCTCAGCCTCGACCTGCTGGCTGGGCTCCGGCAATCCTTCCGCCTCAGCCTTCCAAGTAGCTGGTACTACAGGCGCGCACTACCACACCCGGCTCATTTTGATTTTATTGTAGAGATGAGGTCTCGCCAAGTTGCCCAGGCGGGTCACGAACCCACAGGCTCAGGTGATATTTGTATTTTTGAGTTGGATTTTTTTTTTTTTTGAGTTGGAGTCTCACTTTGTCACCCAGGCTGATTGAAGTGCAGTGGCACACTCATGGCCACCACAGCCTTGACCTGCTGGACTCAGGTGATTCTTCAACCTCAGCCTTCCAAGTAGCTGGAACTACAGGTGTGCGCCTGGCTAATTTTTTTTCATTTATTGTAGAGATACAGTCTCTCCAAATTGCCCAGGCTAGTCTCAAACCCCTGTACTCAGGCAGTTCTTTCACCTCCATCTCCTAAAGTGCTGGGATTACAGGCGTGAGTCACTACGCACAGCTGAGTTGGATCTGTTTTGTTTTGTTTGTTAATTGCTCTATTGGTCTTTGTTAATTGAAATATTTAGATTCATCTTCCCCCCTCCTGTTTTTTTTTTTTTTTTTTAGTTGAAGTCTTACTCTGTTGACCAAACATGTTCATGGCTACTGTATCCTCAACCTGCTAGGCTCTGGCAATCCTTCCACATCAGTCTTCCAAATAGCTGAAACTACAGGTGTGCACCACCATGCCCAGCTAATTTTTTCTTTTTTTCATTGTAGAGGTGAGATCTCACCAGGTTGTCCAGAATGGTCTCAAACTTACTTGCTTTTCATAGCACGATGATCACCTCCATACTGTTTACCTATCAATTAGTTTAGTCTATTTCTCTTTATAAGAATGTAAGCTCCATGAAGGCAGGACTTTGTCTATTCATTTGCTTTATTTCAATTGCCCAAAACAGAGCCTGCCATATATAGGTACTCAGTAGGTATTTATTTAAATAATTAATCTCTATGTATTTGTCATTTTCCTTCCTCAATTTGGTATTACTGGCCAAAGTGATGAAGGTTCTTTGTACCTTTTGTCATACAACTTTTTTGTTTATTTCTTACTTATTTGTACTAGGTAATACTTTTCACATGACTTAAAATACAAATGTTATAAAAGGGGTTCTGTTCAAAAGTATTCCTCTCACTCTCATGCTCAAGTTCTCCAGTCCCCTGCTCAAGCAGAGTCAGCATTGTCAGTTTCTTGACTCTCCTTTCAGTGATATTCCTGTTATGGCTTTCTAAAAAGTTGTTGATACCAAGTTATACTGTAGCACAAAGTATTTTGCAGTTATACCTGTCCAGAACAGTTCATATGGGGTGAGAAAGCAGCCACACTTTATAAAGTAACAGAGGCCTTAAAGAGATCAAGGTGACACATGACACATATGAAATGTGACACATCAGGACACACATGAAATGTCACAGAACCTTGAATGAGGTACAAATAATAGCATGAAAATTAGTTTATCAAAGCAGAGAAAGAGTATATTTTATCACAAATCTTCATGGAAAAGGAAGAATACACTGGCTTTGGATAGTCTGGAAAGAGTGAAAAAAGGAAAATTGTATATTATACCGTTTGTGTTTACCAAGGTGATAGTTAAGCAATAAGATCCTACAAGAATATATTTTTATGCTATGGGATTTGCAAAGCCCTTGTTTTATAGAGGAGACACTGTATGTATAACAAAGTCAGTGAGAAGAAGTGCTATAAAGAGGGTTTCAGGTTCAGTGGGGGTTTAGAAAGAAATCATAGGCGGTTGAGGAAACAAAATTTTTACAGGGAAAGTCATGTTCAAGATGGAGCTTGAAAGATAAATAGAATTTTATTTTATTTTATTTTTAGAGATGAAGTCTTGCCAAGTTGCCCAGGCTGGTCTCTAACCCACGGGCTCCCAAAGTGCTGGGATTATAGGCGTGAGCCACTGCGCCCGACCACAAATAGAATTTTTAGTAGGCACAAAAAGATAACATGGTGGAAGACTCTAGTACAAGGATTGGCAAACTACTGCTGTTAGACTGACCACCTGCTTTTTTTTTAATTAAATGTTATTAGAGCACAGCCATGACCATTTGTTTCTATATTGTCTGTGATCACTTCCATGTTGCAGTGGCAGAGTTGAAAAATTGAGATGGATCTTACGGCCTGTAAAGCCTAAAATATTTACTATCTAGTCCTTTACAGAAAGTTTGCTGATCCTTGCAAATAGATATGACAGAGGTAGGAAAACATTATTGTTAACTATTGAAGAAATGCAAATGAGATATTTATTACAGCTGAAGGAAGTTTGGTATTAGAAGGGTAGAGGCTAGGTGCAGTGTCCCATGCCTATAATCCCAGTACTTTGGGAGGCCAAGGCAGGAGGATTGGTTTGGTCCAGGAGTTCAAGATCAGCCTAGGCAACATAACAAGACCTCATCTCTACAAAAAAAAACCCCAAAATTAGCTGGACATGGTGGCACATGCCTGTAGTTCCAGCTACTCAGGAGGTGAGGTGAAAGGATCACCTTGAGCCCAGGATGTCAAGGCTGCAGTGAGCCATGATTGTGCCACTGCACTCTAGCCTGGGCAACAGAGTGAGACCCCCAACTCAAAAAAAAAAAAAAAAGCAAAGAAAGGTGGTTGGTTAAAGGAGAGGTTAGCCTTGAAAGAACACAACAGGGAGACCATTATATATATTAGAGAGGAAGTAAGGAGCCCTTTCAGGCTGGACAATAGTAGCTCAGTAAGGTACAGAGGTAGCTTATTCTTAACCATACTTTTCTAATCTTTCCCTTGCTAGCCAAGAAGGATCAGGAAGGTGGAGAAGAAAAGAAATCTGTGCAAAAGAAAAAAGTAAAAGAGTTAAAGGTGTTGGATTCAAAGACGGCCCAGAATCTCTGTGAGTAACTCTGTGACCCCAACTATTTGAAATGTTAAAGAGTTCTTTTAAGAACTTAATTCTCTTGTATCTAGGATCCCTTGATATGAAATTTTCATTTGTTGAGTTTCTGCTACATGTCAAGCATTGTATAGTGAATTTCCAGTATCTCATTTAATTTCTTCATGAACACTGCAGGATTAATAAGTATCCAGTTTTGTGTCAAGGAAACAAGCTAAGACTTTTAGGAAATTGCCTATTCATAAAGCTTATGAGAGACAGGTCTGGGATTTGAACTTCGGACTTTTTTTTTTTTTTTTGGTAGATACATAGGGTCTACCTATGTTGACCAGGCTGGTTTCAAACTCCTGGCCTCAAGCAATCCTCCCACATCAATCTCCCAAAGTGCCTGGATTACAGGGATGATCCACCATGCCCAGCTGAGCCTTAAACTTTCTTATTTCAAAGTATTTACTATTTTTGTTGCATCCTCAGAAAATCTACTACAGAGGTTTTAGCCACTGTACATTTTCTTCTTTCTCACTTTCTGATAAGTACTACCGTATAGTCACTGACTTGGCATCAATTAAATCTAAAATTACTTTGTGATTTAAATAAATGAGGTAAATCTTATACTTCTCAGAGTAGCATCAGTAACTCCAGAGATTCTGGTTCTTCTGATCAGAACTTGGTACGTATATTCATAATTCTGATTGGTGACAGAATTTCAAATCAGAAATTCCTCTGCAAAGTTGATACAGGTAGTGATCAGGATAAATGTTATTTTTTTGTTGCTCATTTCAACTGTTGATCTATGAACTTTATGCTAAGTGATGCAGATTTGAATATTTGTTTGACAGATATTTCAGGGTCTACCTATGTGAGAGGCTCTATTAGGCACATATTACACATGTGTTCCAGAGTAAAGAGATATAGTCCATAAAACCCACTCACAGTATTACGATGTGATTATTTTCACCATTTTCTAAATGAGAAAACTAAAGTTTAAATGTTGTTATTTGGCCAGGTCACACAACTAAAAAGTATACATACTCATAAATAAGGTCAGTGATATAGTGAGAGCAGTAAACCTTTGCGTTATTCTTTTTTAAAATTTTTAAAATTTATATTAGAGACAGGATCTTGCTTTGTTGACCAGGCTGCTCTTAAATTCCTGGTCTCAAGCAGTCTTCCCATCTCAGCCTCCCTTAGTACTAGGATTGCAGGCATGAGCCACTACATCTGGCACAGTATTCTTGTAACACTCGTATATAATCTTAAATTATCATCAACAAGTATTACTAAGTAGTGTCTGTGGTGAAGTCCTTTTATGAAGACTGAAGTCGTGTGAGTCAGTTTGTCTTCCCAAGAGTAATTCTAGGACCACAAAACATGAGTAATTGTTATCTTAGAAAATGATACAAATAAATGTGGTACATTATTATTTCTCGTGGAGTGATATTGATATGGAGAACAATACAAGAAGACAATAGAGATTAGTTTAGGGAAGGATGGTCTAGGAGATAGAATTTTAGTATTCAGCAATGATACATGACTTGTAATTGCTAAGGATATAAAGCTGAGTAAGACATAGTTCCTGTTCCCATGAACCATGTGTTTGGTGGAGATAGAAACACAAATAAAAATAATAATAATAATAGCAGCACAGGCTGATAGGTACTATGAAGGAGGTATGGTGGGATGGTTGGGAAAATTTGGAAGAGCTGCCAAAAGGGGTGAGAGAGAGAAGAATAGGAACACACAGAAAGGGATTGCTAAGCAGCACTTGAGGCCCTAACTTTCATTAGTACCACGACAAATTCATAGACTTCAGTCTGCATCGGCCCAGGTATAAGAGTAGAGAATGTGATGACGGATGAACCAGGGCCTGGAAGGAGGAGGAAGCTGGGGGAGGGCAGAGGGAATAGGAATAGGAGCAGTGGTGAGAGGGCAAATGAAGTGTTTGACTACAGGGTCCAGGTCAAATAGAGAAGGCAGAGTGGAACTGATACATCCAGAGGAAACAGAGTGGTCAGGAGACGAGAGAGCAGTCCTGATAAGTTTGAAGAGTCACATTAGAGATTAGAAAATGCAGGAGCTGAAAGGATAGGTTGTGTGTTTGTTAGAGAACAGGATGTGAGAGTTTAAGGTCAAGGCTTTGAGAATCAAGACCTGGGAGTGGGGACCTTAAATAGAGTGGGGTGAAAGTCTTTGATATATACAGACAGAGAAGATCAAAGGCTTCCTATGTGAACAAAGGCAAAGAATCTCAGTACTTGTGGGATGTGATACATGGAACAGTGTGAAAGAAAAAGTTGGGAGGTGGGAACCTTTTATTGCTGGCCCCAGGAACTTGGATTTTAACTATATAGGCAGTAAGGTGTCTGAAAATGACTTTAAATAAAAGAGTTCTCTTAGAAAGAGTTTCTAGCATGGATTTATAGGATGAATTGGAATGGGGAAGAGACTGAGCAGAACATGACTTTGTATCTTATTTTTCTGGCAGCAATCTTCTTGGGTTCCTTCCGCATGCCCTATCAGGAGATTAAGAATGTCATCCTGGAGGTGAATGAGGCTGTTCTGACTGAGTCTATGATCCAGGTAAGGAGCAAGCTTATTCTGCTGGAGCTGGCCTTCTGCAGAGCTGTGCACTAGCCTCATCTCTGCTTAGATGAAAAAGATCCTCCTCTAGTATTATGGACTTATCAGTGGTAGCTTTACAGAAGCTGCCGTTTTTCTAGTGCTGAGGTTATTCTGAGGTGTTGGCAGAAAGATGAAAGAATGTCTTTTTCAAAAATCATGCCATCTTATTACCTGTCTTTCTCCCTCCCCACCCCACCCTGTTTCCTTCTTAGTGGTCCTTGGGCAGAGTGTGGGATGGACAAGAGAGTAAAAGTCATTTAGATTCAAGTTGTCAGCAAATCCCCCTCAAACTGAGACGTCTTTTCTCTCTTTCAGAACCTCATTAAGCAGATGCCAGAGCCAGAGCAGTTAAAAATGCTTTCTGAACTGAAGGATGAATATGATGATCTGGCTGAGTCAGAGCAGTTTGGCGTGGTGGTGAGTGGGGCCTGTGGCAATAGACTCTTCTCTGCCTCCCTTGTTCCCCTCCCCTCTGAGGAGCAGCCCTGGCCCTTGCTCCTTGTCTCTTGTCCATTTGAACTGTCTTAATCTCTCTTCTCCCTACTCTGGAGCTCTGATCCTCTCACAGGAGGCTCTATCTTTTATCTTTTTCCCGCTTCTCTCTCTCTCCTCCATTGGCTGTAATGGAGCTGCTTGTCTTCTCCACTAGATGGGCACCGTGCCCCGATTGCGGCCTCGCCTCAATGCCATCCTCTTCAAGCTACAATTCAGTGAACAGGTGGAGAATATCAAACCAGAGATTGTGTCTGTTACTGCTGCATGTGAGGAATTACACAAGAGTGAGAGCTTTTCCAGCCTCTTAGAGATTACCTTGCTTGTTGGAAACTATATGAATGCTGGCTCCAGGAATGCTGGTGCTTTTGGCTTCAATATCAGCTTTCTCTGTAAGGTGAGCCAAGGGGTTAGAGCAGAACAGCAGAAGGGAAGGCAGCCGCCTCTGAACCCCATGTGGCCTGAGGCCACCTTGGACGTGTCAGGACTAACAATTTCTCTTCTTACTGTAAGCTTCGAGACACCAAGTCCACAGATCAGAAGATGACGTTGTTGCACTTCTTGGCTGAGTTGTGTGAGAATGACTATCCTGATGTCCTCAAGTTTCCAGATGAGCTTGCCCATGTGGAGAAGGCCAGCCGAGGTAGGCATGTTGGGGTGAAGCTAGAAGGTGGTTCTGAACCCATAAGTCTCTGCATTGGGGAAGGAAATAAGACACAGTCTAGGTTTTAGATCATTTTCAGTTCAGATTACTTCAAGTGGGAGTAGGGTAGTGTTTACACAAGGTGTTTAAGCCACAAGGATAGAGAGTGAGCATGAAGAGAGTTCTTGTGTAGAAAGAGGAAGCACTCTCTCCTTCCTAGGGTAGAACCAAACACCGAAAACAACTGGAAGAAAGGCACGTGTTTTTAGTCTGTGTCAACAGTTTTTTTCATTCAGAAAGCATAGACTTGATTACCAAAAATCAGGCCTAACTATTCTGCAACTAGACAAAGAAAAAGCAGCATTCAGTAGAAATAGGAGCAGATTTCTGCCTTGCCTCTATGTTTCTATGTATATCTCCTTCCTCCCAAGCCCCGTTCTCTAAAATAAATGAGACTAATATCTCAAGGGGCTTCATAGATTCAAGTTAAATTAAATGAAGTGTTTTTTTTTCTTTTTCTTTTTTTTTTTTGAGTCAGAGTCTCACTCTATTGCCCAGGCTGGAGTGCAGTGGCATGTTCACCGCTACCTTGGTGTTGACCTGCTGGCCTCAGGCAATCCTTCTGCCTCAGCCTTCTAAGTAGCTGGAGCTATAGTCGTGCGCTACCATGCCCGGCTAATTTTTTTTTTTTGATATATTGTAGAGACGAGGTCTCACCAGGTTGCCCAGGCTGGTCTTCGAACCCCTAGGCTCAGGCACTCCTCTCACCTTGGCCTCCCAAAGTGCTGGGATTACAGGCTTGAGCCACCACGCCCAGCCTTTTTTCTGTTCTTATTACTGTACACCTTGTGGAGGCTGGAGGTTCAGTTGTCTAACTGGAAAGATGAAAACTTAAATGTATGACACAAAATACACAAAAGAATTAAAATTATTAAGTACCAGAATATGTGTATAGACTGAAGCTGGGGGTCTTCAGGCTGGAATTACTAGTAAGCGCTAGCTGTCTGTTTTGTGTTTCTTTTAGTGTCTGCTGAAAACTTGCAAAAGAACCTAGATCAGATGAAGAAACAGATTTCTGATATGGAACGTGATGTTCAGAATTTCCCAGCTGCCACAGATGAAAAAGACAAGTTTGTTGAAAAAATGACTATATCCTCTCTTGAAAGAAGGTACTTGCTCCCTAGGACAGGAAAGGATACTGACCAAGGGAGGTGGGGACAACAGAATAGATATGGCAACGTACAATTCTTCCCTCTTAGAAACTTTTTTTTTCATAAATGCATAGTTCTTGAAAGCATTCTCATTTTTGTAATAGTGGAAGCAAACCATGCAGATCAACTAGAAGTCCCCTTGGCTCCCCTTCCTGTGCTCATCTCCACTACACACATGCACATGTGTCCTCCCCTCTTCTTTCCCTTCCCAAAGGTAACTGCTGCCGTTGAACTTTATTTTGATTTGCACCTCATGAATTTATTTTAGAGAATGGGGCTTGGGAGGAGGAACTACACTGTATGGCTTTTTTGCACAAAATACATCTTAGCCATGTTTCCATAGTAGTCTATGCAGAACAGCCTCTTTTTAAATTGCCATCTTCTATTTTATAGGTGTGTCATAGTTTATGGTTTACTCTTCCTCTCTTTAGGATATCTAGATTGATTTTGTTTTTGCTGTTGTAAACCGTGCTGTGTTAAACATCCCTGTGCATTCCAGTACACATCTTTGAGTAGTTGTCTGAGCTAGAGAGGTGGGTCTGCTTCTTGGTCGTGGTCCTTCACTCCTTGGCTGCACAGCTTTGTGAAAGATGCACAGGAGCAATACAACAAGCTGCAAATGATGCACTCCAACATGGAGACCCTCTACAAGGAACTCGGCGAGTACTTCCTCTTTGACCCCAAGAAGTTATCTGTGGAAGAATTCTTCATGGATCTGCACAACTTCAGGAATATGTTTTTGGTGAGCAGGGGATACCTGCTGACCGAATCCTATGTGGGCATTTCTCACTTTCCACTGGGTTTTGTTGGCTGGTGGTAGATGTACACATGCCCATGTGTTCCTCTCCTTCTTGTCCCCCCAGCAAGCAGTCAAGGAGAATCAGAAGCGACGGGAGACAGAGGAAAAGATGCGGCGAGCAAAACTAGCCAAGGAGAAGGCAGAGAAGGAGCGGCTCGAGAAGCAGCAGAAGAGAGAGCAGCTCATAGACATGAATGCAGGTAAAAAGTGGAAAAGGGCTGAAGAATTAAATATTTGGAAGGCTTCTCTGCCTAGAACCTACAGGCCAGAGGGAATAGCTCATGTCTGTGCTCACCTCCTGGCAAATGATTTTTGGCAGCCTCTACCTTCCCAGATCCCGATGCTGGACTTTAACCCCAGTCCGGTTTTCCATGCTAAAATCCTTTTTCTCTCCTTTGCTGATTCTTGCACGATGTCTCATCTCCCTAGTGATTTTAGTGTTGCTGCAACACATACTCTTTTCCTTCTGCACATGTAAAGGTTCCTCTGGCTTGTTTTCATTCCCTCCACTAAATGTTTTGGGTTTTTTTCCCCTAAAATGTTTTCCTGACCCTCTTTCCATCTTTTAATGGTGGCTTGTCTTCCCTTTCTGCTTACTTCGCTAAGTCCTGTGTCCCTAGTACCTTTGCACAGTTGTATACACAATTATATCGTAAATGGATTGAACTTCTGGAAGTGGGGTGAGGAGCTGGCTGCCCTCCTCTTTCTTTAGCAAAATCTCTGTTTCACTACCAGAAGCATGTCTTTGTTGAAACATATGGTCTCAATTACTGGCCCTCTGTTTCCTGTCTCTGCTTCTTTCCTGCTGCTGATTCCCTGCTCCTCCACCCCCACTGCTCTTACTGTGGGCAGCAGAAATACAGCACACGTTGCTCACATAGCACGGAGTTGATGCCCACCTTCTCTGAAGCTGAGGGGCCTCCAGCCTTCTGCAGGTGAAGGGGTGTTTGGTCACAGGACTACTCTAAAATCTCTCGCTCCCAGGAACTTTTTTTTTCTAGAAAGCAATTTCCTTTACCTTACCTCAATTAAGTCCCAACTTTGTTCCAGAAATACTAGTAAAAGCCCACATCAAGTGTCCTCTACCTTCTGGGTCTCCAGGGTTTGTCCCCAGGTACTAGCTAGGATTTAGTGGGGGAAGGTCAAGTCCCGCTGACATGTGGGATGAGGGCTATACTCGGTCAACAGGTGGCGTAGTGGACCTTGCCCTGTTTCCAATACCCAGGTCAAGCAAATGAGGTTGGAATGTAGGTCAGTTGCACTGGTTATGTTCAGCCGGCAGGTGGCGCTGGGAGCAGCGAGCCCCAGCCTTGGAGCTGGCAGCCTATTGGCTTTTTGGGATTTCACAGTTTCAGATTTCACTCTCCTAAGTTGTTGCCATGGAAACCGAGCCAGGCCTGAGCAAAGATTCTGTTTAACTCTTTATACTCCAGCCAGGCTGTTCTTAGATTCAGAGCCAGCTTCAGGAAGACACAACCACTGGAGGCAGTACTTACACGAAATGTACTATTGATCAGTGGTTTCCTTTCCTCAGCCCTGGTCTGAAAGCCGAACCAGGCTTCCTTGAGAGGTTTCTGTAAAACACATTAGGATAAAGAGGGGGTAATCTAGTTGCATATTACAATATCACAATCGCAGTCTCTGTACTTATCCTGGTCTTAGAGTTGGAAGGTTCTATAATTCTGTGTGCTAGTCCAGATAGGGATGGGAAGGATGGCACTGCAGGAAAATATCCAAGCCAAGTTTGCATTGGATAGTGGGCAATGAAATATTTTTGTTTTGACCTTTTGTAAACAGATACAAGTAAACATGGACCTGTGAGACGAAAGGTTGAGCCTTCTTTGCCTGTTCTCAGCTGCCAGCCGCTGTGGGAGAGGGGAAGCCAAGTAGCAACCATGCATTTTGTATGGAGCTTGACACTTGTCAGCTGCTCTGGCTGAAGAATTTACATCTCTATCTTGTTTTTCATGACAGAGGGTGATGAGACAGGTGTGATGGACAGTCTTCTAGAAGCTCTGCAGTCAGGGGCAGCGTTTCGACGGAAGAGAGGGCCCCGTCAAGGTAAGTATGCTCTGGGAGCTCAGCCTGGGTGTGGCTAAAGAGCAGAATAATAATGCTCCAAGGGTTTAGAAACTTCTCCACTATAGTCCCTGCATCTAGAGTGGTTTATCTAGTCCGCTTGCTCCCATGATTGGAAAACTAGGGTTTCAGGGACGGACCACAAATCAGTTACATTTGATCATTCTTGCATCTTTCCCTATTCTTGAAGCAGCAATTTGGAACACAGAACTATGCTTCAGGCCATAGGGACTTGAGTGGGCATTTGTGTGTAGCAACAAAAATTGATCTAAATATAAAACTGTATATTAGATATAGACTGAAATACAAAGACAAAAATAAGTCAGAGTCCTTTTTATCAACTTCACAAGCAGAAGACATATAGAGAAAGAACTAATAGAAAGTACACAATTCTCTAGGCTGGGCACAGTGGCTCACACCTGTAATCCTAGCACTTTGGGAGGCTGAGGTGAGAGGATTGCCTGAGATCAGGAGTTCGAGAGCAGCCTGAGCAACATGGCCAGACCTCATCTCTACAATAAATTTAAAAATTAGCTGGGCATGGTGGTGTATGCCTGTGGTTCCAGTTACTTGGAAGGCTGAGGCGAGAGGATCACCTGAGCCCAGCAGGCTGATGCTGCAGTGGCCATGAGAAGCGTGCCACTGCACTCCAGCCTGGGTGACAGAGTGAGACTCCGACTCAAAAAAGAAAGTATAAAATTCCCTAGAAAGGTTAGGCATTATTATCCCCAGGTGTTAAAGTATAGAAGAAGATCTCAATCGAACGGTTGTGCTGTGTCTAAAAACTCCCTTTTTCTTGAATGCAATAAGCCTCCAATGTCCTTGCCTTCCCCCATTCCCTCCCTCGCAACCTTCTTTTCCCACCTTCAGCAGATTTAAGTGGATTGCAGTGAGCCAGAGCCTCTAAAAAGAATTATGGAGATAGGAGGACAAATGATCCATGCAATATATGGGGAAGGATTAATGGAAGTTTCCCTTGAGGGGAGCATACAGTGACTAAGAGAATATTCCAAAAGAAGATATAGCCAAGGCTGCCCTTCATGTAGAGTTGGTATGCACTATTGTGTATAGTGAAGGCACTTTGGGGTTAGGAGTGATTGCTTCTTTCTTAGGTCGAAGAATAAGAATCACGGAAAAAAACATCATTAAGGGTTTCTACTTCAGAGGTAGTTAAAGCTGTGTTTCCTATTTCCTAGCTGGTGTACTCTGTAGACCTATCTGATAAAGCTTTAAGTTTATCATAAAGAGAAGAAGTTATATGGCTTGTTTTGGCCAGTACCCAGCTACTAATACAGTGGTATTTGTAGTACTGTCATAGTCTGGGATGAGGTCCTCAGGACTGAGGGTATAGAGCAGGCTAACCCACATGAACTCAGTAGCCTTGCCCAAATGTCATAGATCACTATGAGTTTCAACTGCAATGGCTGGCTATTTCTGCTGAGACTCTGAATACCCAGAGGGATATTCCCTTCTGGGGGCTCTTCTGGATGACTTTAGGACTCTCCCCAAACTGAAGAATTCCTAGTTACAGCTCATCTGTTTTCTGGCATCTTCTGTGTTTAGGCTCTTTAAAGAAGAGGAGAGGTGTTTAGGCTTCTGTGTTTAGGCTCTTTAAAGAAGAGGAGAGAACTCTCTGGGATAGTACATTTACTCCTAGAGATATAGGTGTTTGGGTAGAGAGTATCACTAGGAGTACTGTATTACTTCTGTATTTGGTCCTTATAGGTTTTTACAGTGTTGTTTCCTACCCATCATATAAGGTGATGTGGCCTTGTATTAAGCATTTCTAGTCTAACGAAAGTGCTTGCATCTCACTGCTTTCCTCGACCCCTTCAGCTAAGTGTCAGTCCATATCAGACTTTTGGTGGGGAATTCCCTTTAAAGCCTCTTCCTGTGGAGCTATACTAGAATCCCAGATGCTTCCTATACACGGGCAGCCAGACATCAGTGATTTCCCGCTGCAGGGGTGGTCCCATTCTTCACCTCTTTCCACGTGGAAAACTACTTATAGGTGGAGGAAGCAGGGATTTTGCAAGAACCTAACCTGTCAGCAGAGGACTTCACTTAGTCAAAGTATTGTCTCCCAATGCAAGAGGGAATAGGAAGAAACTTATACTAGGAGAAATTGAAGTAAAAAGTAGGTTAAATGAGAATGACATATTCTTCAAGTGGCTCCAGCCTATAACCTTATCTTTCTGGGCTCTGAGTTTACTAAACGCACCTAACACATATCTGGGAGAATTGCTAAGGGAAGATTTTGTTTTTTTTGAGTTGGAGTTTCACTCTCTCGCCCAGACTGGAGTGCAGTGGCACACTCCCGGCGCAGGCTCGACCCACTGGGCTCCAGCGATCCTTCCACCTCAGCCTTCCGAGTAGCTGGAATTACAGGCACGCGCTACCACGCCCGGCTGATTTTTTGGTTTATTGTAGAGATGAGGTCTCGCCAAGTTGCCCAGGCGGGTCTCGAACCCACGGGCTCAGGCAATCCACTCACCTCAGCCTCCCAAAGCGCAGGATTACAGGCTGAGCCACCGAGCCCGGCTAGGGAAGATATTTTTAGTTAATTCTTGTAAGCTCTTTAGACCCTGATGCCGTCGCATCATGTAAAGTGATGGGATGTGATGTGGCCTCACGTTAAATGTAAACAGAAGGATAGGCATTCAAGTGGAGTACGAGAGCATAGGGCTAGGAAGAGACTGAAAAACCCAAAGTCTGATCGTGCTCTGATGCCATGTGTTTAACCTTAGATCACTTAATGTTTCTGGGACTCAGTTTGCTCAGATATAAAGTGGGAGTTGGACTAGAATGGTCTCCAGGGTCCCTTCCACCTCTAATGTTTTTTGGTACAGTGGCAGTAGGATTAGGAGAAGAAGAGAAGAGAGATTGAACCTAGATGGCCCCATTCTCAAGATAAAAAGGCTCCAGTGGCTGTAGGTTTTCTTCCGTGGCCATTGGATGTGGCTGTTCTGCCCCTTGGTTGACTGTCTCGGACTGTTCCTCCTGGCCAATTGCGTTGAGCCAAAAAAACAGAAGCACCATGGAACATATCTGCCTCACAAGCCTCCTTATTCCCAGAGAGGCAGCTGTCCCTATTCACAGATGCTAGCCTTTTCCCTGGAGTTTAAAGGAACGTCAAAGTCTTCCGGTCTCTGGAGACCTGAGGGAGTGACCAGTATACAAAGACCCATTGAGGAGTTGGAAGAGGAGAGTCACTATCAGAGTTGGTTCATTAAAAGCAACATGTAAACTGCTGTGATCTGCAGGGTGCGGGAGAACAATGGTTTGAGTGTCAAGGGAAAGAATCCATGTGATTGTATTACAGCTACTATTTCAGGCCCATGATTGAGTCAGCTTGTGGTTTTAATGACTCAACTTTATCTCCATGTCTGAATTGTGGCCTCTTATATACAGGCCATTTGCTCACTGGGATAAAAGCCAAGGGAAGAAAGAAATTCATCTCACTCTCCATTTCCTTTCCTCTACCACTTCCTAGCTTCTCTGTAAGCTCTACATACACTAATAGAGCCTTAGAGTTGGGAAGACTCTAGACCTCTAGTGATTAGCATTTAAACTGCTCGTAGGGAAAAGGAATTAAGACCCAGATATGGTCTGCCCGGGTCTACGCAGCCGGCTAATCAAAACACCAGAACTGGAGTCCACTTGTAATCCAGGTCCACTTAGCCACAGTGGACAGGAGATGACAGTGACCTCTCAGTATGGGCCAGACATAGTCTTTCAGCTGGGCTTGGTGGCTCAGCCTGTAATCCCAGGCTTTGGGAGACCAAGGTGAGTGAATTGCCTGAGCCCGTGGGTTCGAGACCCGCCTGGGCAACTTGGCAAGACCTCGTCTCTACAATAAATCAAAAATTAGCCGGGCGTAGTAGCGCGCGCCTGTGGTTCCAGCTACTTGGAAGGCTGAGGTGGAAGGATTGCCGGAGCCCAGCAGGTCAAGTCTGCAGTGACCGGGAGTGTGCCACTGCACTCCAGTATGGGCGACAGAGTGAGACTGCAACTCAGAAAAAAAAAAGAAAAGAAATAGTCTTTCATACCTTACAGCAAGGAGAGTCCTGGGCATGGTGAAATTGCTGCAGGGAGGTTTTCTGATGACCATCTATCTAGAGAAGGTTGAGAGGAGTGTTTTCTGTACCATTTATTCGCCCCTTCCTTTTGTAAAAATAGGGCAGGAGGTATAATTAGGAGAGTTTGGACAATAATGAGTTCTTTAGGATAGTAATGATTGCCCCATCTGTCCTAGTTTCCTCTTCCCCAAGGAAGCTTATTAACAAGAGCACTTCCTCTTTAGTTCCTGGCCTGTGTTTTATAAAGGTCTTTTTCTAAATCATTAACATTTTAAAAAATTCAGCTATATTAGTTTTATAAGGTCAATTTTGCTCATGTTTTTATCCTAACCCACCCCTAACTTCTAGGAATCTGGCCTCAGAGAGCTTTGACTAATATCTCAAAATTGTTTCCTCTCCTACAGCCTGTGGGACTATTTGTTAGTGATCCTCCCTGATTGTATCAATAATCTTAACAAGTACTCAGTCAGGTAGGGGGCAGAAGGAAAGGGGCCAGTTTTTCTTCATTGTTCAAACGGCTCAGTATAATGGTGTCACAGAAGTCTGAGTGGAGCTGGGATACCTGGAGTTTGTAGGAGAAGCAGACGCATGTAGACCACCACAGTCAACACTCAAGTGGGCTCCTTTTCCTTACCTGTCAGTCCCTGAGGCAATAATATATGTTCATAATCCAGCAAATGCTTTGGTGAAATCCACACAGTCTAGATCACACACCTCTGATCTGTAACTAGATAAGCCCTATGGCTGTCAGGCAGGGTCTTCACTATTCTTTCTCCTCTTGGTAGACAACCCCCTGCTTTCCTGGGAGGTGGAGGAGGAGGAGGAGGAGGAGACCTATAAATTGGTAACCTGTGGGCATGCTGTCTGCTCCCTGCCTGATCTGTGGCTTGCCTCCCCAGAGGTGAAAACAGTGGCTGTGGATCATGGCTCTTCAGGGAGACTGATAGTCTTGGTGAAGGGTGGGACTCTTTGCTCACATTTGGCTTCTGCCTACTAAAACTTTTTGCTGGTCCAGTGGAGGCACTTGGATCACTAGTCCCCTGGACTGTTCCTCCTCCTTGCTTACATCCTGAGCTGCCCCAGTCCTACGGTCTCCATGAGGAGCACCAGGCTCTTTCATCTGGTCCTGCTTCCTGAAGGCACAGCTTTCTCCACTCCAGCTTTTCCAGATGACCAGGAAAGCTTTTTTTAAAAATTAAGATATTATTCACATATCTAAAATTGACGATTTTAAAGTGTACAATTGAAGGGTTTTTAGTATGTTCACAAAATTATGCAACCATCACCACTATCTCATTCCCTAACATCTCATCATTCTAAAAAGAAAGCCCCCATACCCATTAGCAGTCCCTTCTGATTGTACTTTCCCTAGCTCCTGGCCCATGAATATACCTTCTATCCCCGTGGATTTGCCTGTACTGGACATTTCATAGAAATGGACCCATCCCATATGTGGCCTTCTGGGTCTGGCTTCTTTTGTCCCAGGCAGCTTTGTGTATGTGCAGTCACTTGGCATTGCTTCTAGGGTGTAAGAAGAGGCAGACATCAAGAGGTGGGCATGGTCCCAAGGATCCACCTTCCTGTTCAAGATACAGGGACCCTGGGTTCCATAAATGACTAAGAGTCTTGGGAATGACACCCAGCAGTTAGAACAAAAACCCATGAATTGACTGGTTTTCTTCCAGCCTGGGATGGCAACTGGGACTTCACAATCCCTTTAGGCAGGCGGGCATCTTTCTTTGTAGGGGTCCCCTTTGGGCCATCCTTGATCCTAGCTCCCCCTTTCCGCATCCCCCACCCACACACACACCCGCACCCTACACACCTTGGAGGCTGTTGTCATTTGTATCACAGCTGTACCCTTGAAGAGGTGGCAGGGAGCTTAGGCATTTGTCATCCGCTGCTGGAGAGCACATGGGAGTGTGACATGCATGTGGTGCCACTGAGTGGTGGCTCTCCTTGCAGGAGCACCCACAGCCTACTGAAGGCCACCTTCTGCCAGGGACAACCCTCCTGGGGCTGACTGAAAAGCATTTTGGCCTTGGAGCTTCCTGGGAACTGTCAGGAAAACAAAACTTTGTACTCAGTTGCAGCCTTTGAATTCCAAAAACCCTCTTCTTATGAGTTGGGGCCTTCATCTCTCTCTAATCACACAGACAGTTCTGTCTGTCTAGATGTATTCAGTGCTTGGACTGTTTTCACATAGGAAAGCAAGGGCAAGGCTTGCTCTCTGTAGCACCACACTGTCTTATATCTCTTGCCACCTAATGATATGTCCCACACATTAGATCCCTGCCCCTCCTTCTTCAAAGTAAGGGCCTCTGTGAACTGGGCAGGGCAGCCACATGTGCATGGCTAACAGGGCTGCTGTGGAGCTTGAGAGGGATTAGAAGCTAGGCCTTCCAGGGTGAGATCTCTCGTGTGTCTTCCCTTGCAGCCAACAGGAAGGCCGGGTGTGCAGTCACATCTCTGCTAGCTTCAGAGCTGACCAAGGATGATGCCATGACTGCTGTTCCTGCCAAGGTGCCCAAGACCAGTGAGGCAGTCCCCACAATCCTTGAGGAAGCCAAGGAGTTGGTTGGCCGTGCAAGCTGAGCTAGCTCCTAAGGCCACCGCAGCTCCTCAGAGGAGCCCCAGACTGTCCTGCCCTGCAGCATGTGCCTGAAGGCTCCAGGGGGAAGTCCTCTGGTGGCCACTCCCACTCCCCTGACCCTGTCTCTCTCTCTGGCCTGCTGCTCTGAACATCACTTACAGCTTCAGCTGCCTGGAGGCCAGGAGGAAAGGGCAGTGTGGGCAGGCCTGGGCCCGGCCCAGCCAGCCCTGGCTGTTGTGTTACCAAAGCAGGGTCCGTGTCTGCTGCCTTAACCCTGTCCGCGCTCTGGTCTCAGGCCAGGCCCAGCTTGCTTCCTAGCCCTGACTTACTAGTGGGCTTTCCCCTGGGTCAGTCTTGCTGGATTCATGCTTTTCTTTTGTGGTTTCTCTGGCCCTGAGAACAGCATGGGGCTTGTGAGCCTTTGGGCCAGATCCTTCATTGCTGTCACCTCCACTCTTCCCTTCCCTCTCCTGGCTATTATTTATTACTAGTGGTGTGTGGCATTGGGGGCTGCACCTTCGGAAGTGAGGAGCAAACTCCACCTTCCTGGGAAAGGGCTCCCGAAACAAAAAGGGTCTGGACCACTTACCTATTCTGCTAACCCAGGTCAGAGCTGTGGGCAGGCAGATCTTAGCGACAGTGTGGGGCCTGCCCAGCCTACTGCCACACGGCGTGTCCTGCCTCTCGGGACCCTCTGCACCAGCCCAGACTCCTGAGCCAAGGTCTCTTCTCACGCCTTCCCCAGAGCTTTGGTGCATCTCATCTGGACCATGGGCTGTATTGTGACCATCCCAGTACCTCCCTCTCTGTCTCCAAGGAAACGGGAGGTGTGGAGCCTCCTGGCTGAGAAATTGTTTTGCAAATGGATCTATTTTTGTATGAAAAAAAATTTTTTTAAAGAAAACTCTTCCTTCTCCCTTTCTCCTCCATAATGTGAGAGGCTTTGAGGGCAGTTCCAGAGTTCCCAGGGTTTTTCCACACGACCCTCAATCCTAAACATGGCCCTTGGACCTTCTGGACCCCTGAGACCAAGGCAGACCTTCTCTCCCACAGGACCTGGGGCAGGAGGAACCTCTTCTCTGGTTGAGTGACCCAGAGCTAAGAGTAGCGAGAGCACTAGGACCACAGAGTTTTTATAACTGTAATAAATGTACCAAGCCAAATGTGCACATGCTGATGGGACTCTCTGGGAGTGGGCACAGGAAGTGCCCTCGCACACTGTACCCCGCTCTGTTCTGAACAGTGGGTAGGCCAAACTGTTGAGTGGCCCTAACCACAGGGAGCTCGGAGGACACTTCTGCCCTCCTTTGTGCCCCTTTCAACTTTCCATCCCCAGCTAGGGAGTAAGAATGGCACTGTTAGGGCTGAGCCCAGAACTCTAGCTGTTAGTGCAAGTGGAGCTTCAGAAACTTAAGGGCGGGCAGTACAGGGAGGCCTCACTGCCAGAAGGGAGGGTTGGTTGCTAGCGCCTGTGTAAGAAGGGCAGCGGCAGCTCCTTTGAGCTATTCCCAGGAAGGCCGGTGGTGCAGGGGTCTTCAGCTCGCCTGGGTCGCCTTCTTCCTGCTCGCTGACATCTGGGGCTTTGGCCTTTTCTTTTTTTAATCTACTTTTGCTAAGACGCATTTAATAAAAAAGGGGGGGGGGAACAAAATGCAAACCTATTTCCCCACCTCTTGGGCTTCTGGGTGGAACATCATCACCCTCAGTTTGTTGGTTTTGTTTCCAACTGTTAATAAAGCATTGAAAATACTGCCTTACAGCCTCCTTTGTGATTTCTTGAGCTGTTTTCTTTCTAGTCTAGACTCTACTCTTTTTTTTTTTAGTTGAAGTCTCACTCTGTCGCCCAGACTGCAGTGCAGTGGCCGCTCCCGGCCACCGCAGCCTCGACCTGCTGGGCTCCGGCGATCCTTCCGCCTCAGCCTTCCAAGTAGCTGGAACTACAGGCACGCGCCACCACGCCCAGCTAGTTTTTGATTTACTGTAGAGACGAGGTCTTGCCAAGTTGCCCAGGCGGGTCTCGAACCCGCGGGCTAAGGCAATCCTCTCACCTCGGCCTCCCAAAAGTGCTGGGATTACAGGCTGAGCCGCCGAGCCCGGTTAGACTCTACTCTTTTCCTGCCTCAAACTCCTGGGTGATCTGGTCATCTGGAACTCACTTCTAACTCCCCGCCCCCTTGCCCTCGGATGTCCCACAAGGTTTCCGGGCAGTACCCGTGTTTCTGACTGAAGGAAGCATCTGATTCCCATTTTCCCATTCCCGCTGCTCTTTCGGTGGCCACAGGCCGCATTCCAGACGAGGGGCTTACACCGGGGTGGAAACCTGAGCCAGCCTAGCAGAGGTCAGAAGCCCAAGGTCAGGCTCCAGATGACTTGCCACTCGGATGCCATACTTACCTGAGCGCACTGCAACCTGCACAAAGAAACCTTAGGAGCAACGAGCGGGCCCAGGACAGACAGGGAGGGGCCTGGGGAGGACCACAAACCCTTTTGGGCAGGCTCTGGGACTAGGAGAGGGAAAGCCTTTTAAATCGCCTTGGAGTCTGGGCAGCCGTCTCCCCAGGAGGCCTGGAGGTGTGGGGGTGGGGTGGGCCTCCCCCTCCCTCCCCCAGAGGCCACGCGTTTCAGGCTCAGAGCTTTAAAGACGCACATACCAATGAGGGGACCAACCACAGCTGCTCACGCGCGCTGCCAGTCGGGCCGCGGTGCCCGGAATAGAGCCCAGGCGCCGGCTCCCCGCCCCTCCGCAGCCTGGCTCTGAGAAACCAAACCCTGCTTCCATCCAGGCAGCCAGGCAACCGCACGCACCACCCTTCCTCCCACGCTAGAAAGCCGCCCCTGGATGCCTAGTTGGAAGGTTTTGTTTCCATGACAACAGACTTAAGGAGATGGCAGAGCAGGTCACCCGACTCCGAGACTCCGCACGGAAGAAGCCCGGAGGGAGCCCTGCCACCCGCCTGATAACCTCAATGGCGCTGGCTTTCTGTCCTTCCCTCCGTCTCCCCCGGCCGCCCCCACCACCCTAGGCTTGGCGTTTCCTGTAGCATTTCTGGCCGCAGCAACCTCGGAGGCCCGGGTCCTTCCAGGATGCCGAGGGGGCGGGGAGACCGGAGGGGGCGAGTACATGGGAAAGCACCGGGACGGCAGACTGGGGAGCTGGTCCGCGCGCTCTCACTTCCTTCGCGCCCTTGCAGTCCCCTCGACCCCGCAAGAAAGGGACGCGCCCTCCCGCTGATTTGGCTTCGCTGCGAAGAGGAAAGCGGAGGGCGAATTCCGAGCGGGAAACTGAGGCCCGGGCTACAGACTCGGCCTTCAGAGACTCGCCTCCCGCCCTCGCCCCCACTCCCGCGGCGTCCCCCAAGCCCCGCGGCGGCGGGGGCGGGGGCGGGCAGGGGACAGTCCTGCGAAGCCCGCGCGGGCGCTTCCCGAGGTAATTTTAGCCGCGAAGGGGCGGGAACGAAGGCAGCGTCCTCC